CGCGAAGATAACTAAGAATTTTCTAAATTTTAGACGACAATTTTGAAGGTAAAATTTTTCAAATTTTTTGGTTTTCTGCGTTTCTTGGAAAATTTGCATAATTTTTTGACATTTTTCAAAATTCCACCAGCTGATGCCTTGCAGAACCTGTCTCTCTCGAACTGTTTCTGATGTACTGTGTCTCTGACGAATGCGGTCTCTGCCTGACTCGGACTCTGACGTGTCGTCTATGAGAAGCCCAGATGCGGCAGACAACACGTGAGGCAGACACGCCTGCAGAGGCCGGTTGGTGTAGACACCGAGGCAGGCAGCGACTGGGTGAGATAGAGGCCGAGTCCGGCAGAGACTGGATGTGGCATTCACCGAGAATGGCATGCATCTCGTGAGACCTTTGAAAACAATTTGAAAATTTTCAAGTTTTGAAAAATCAAAAGATACTGGAAATTGTCTGAAACGTGCACAAAATCGAAATTTTTTTTAAAATTTTGACAACAATTTTGAAGGTGAAATTTTTCAAATTGTTTTGGTTTTGTGCGCCTTTTGGACAATTTCCAGCATTTCCGCCAGAGACCGGGTACAGCAGATACCAGGGCCAGCAAAGACTGGGTGCAGAGATTCCTTAAAATTTTTTTAAAAATTGAAAAATTCTTTTGGAAAATGTCCATAAAGCTCACAAAACTCATATTTTGATAAAAATTTGAACTCCGAAAAACATTTCAATAGTATAGGAAATGTTTATTTTTTCGTTTCAAAGACATTTAAGAACTTTTTGAAATTTTTTAATAATTTTAATTTTTTTTAAAAAATATAGAATTTTTAAAGTCGTTCCAGCACTTGTAAGGTGGCGATGGAATAGTAACTCACAACACGCACATTGTCATCTTCCGTAATGACTGATCCTCGCAGTCCAAGGATTCCCGATTCCCGAACATCGCTCTACTATTTGTTCCTTCCCTTGTTGTTCCTATAGGTCACCGACCTCTCCTGGTGTTTGAACTCGGTTTTCAGAGACAGATCTCGAGTGACCTGTTACTGCCTTCGCAATCAGTCCTTCTGGCATAATTTAACGTGAATACTAATGGGCAGCAGGGTGCGGGGGTGCATGTCGCCAAGGGAGCAGATGCCGCTTTGGCCTTTCTTGAACGGGGCTGGTTCCATCCTTGATGAAATTGTCAATTGCGTCCTTGTCCTTTACAAAGGGATTCCGCAGTTATCTGTCTTCAAGGAAAGCCTGGAATGCATGCATCCTAATCCATTTGCGGAAAGTCGGGGAGGTGGAGCATGTTTTGAAAGAATTCAAGCCGAATGCAGAACAATCACACGACCAGTAGGATTAAGTCTTTGACAAACACTATACCAAGGACGTCAGAAGTAATATTGACTTTAACGGCAAAATCAATCAAATATATTTATCTGCCAATAATGTGTTGTTATTGTGAGAACAAATCTGAAAGGAATCATGTCAATCAAATTAAACCGAAGCTTGTTTCCAAACAATGACATCAAGTCAAAACACATACTAAAAATCAAATAGCACCTTTGAATACATTGTATATGTATTGGTGGCTCTCTGGTTATCCATATTGGTAAAATAAAAAATTACATCAATATGCATAATATTAAGAATAAGCTGACATAACAAAATCTTTTCGTCTGAACCAAGTGCTGTAGTGTTAGAATGTATTACGCAATTCTTGACCGCAACAGTCACGTCTGTTGAAAAATGCAAGACCATGCAACAAAATGTCCTTTTATATCATTTGCATTTTGCCTCAATCCTCTTCTCACTAGTTCCAGTGGATTCACCCTCATCAGAATCAACACTTTGAATCATCATCATCATATGATGTTGCCAGTGAGCCATAATTCCACAGTTGTTTACCTAGGTAACAAAAACGAAATAGTTCTATTTATAAAATATCTGTTTTGATGTTACATTCACACAATGAACTAGTATCAGAAAGAATTTTTCGAATCAGACATTACAGTTTGTCAACGAATTATGTCACCATACTGCAAAATTAGTAGTATCAGTAAAAGAAGAAGAAAACAGTTGAAAACCGTGCAATATGACACTCGCATTTCGGGAAGGTAAAGAGAAAAGATACGGGGGACAGGGATGTCAAAGGAAATATAATCTTGTGTTGCCAGTGCCTTCTACGCCACTATGCAGCAAGGAGAAACGCCGTATTCTGTTACATGGTACTGGAAATCTGAAAGCGCAGTGGTGGTGTGGCATATGTGGAGACGTGAACCGCAACAGAGCCACGATCTTGGCCGACATGAACGAAATGAAAATCTGAAGAACATGGCATTGTTAAAGACATTTGTAAAGGTAGGAGTGGAGTTAAACACAATGTGAGAAATGAAACAGTCATGATTCAAATGTTTGCTATGGAAGTCAAAAGTGATGTTCCAACGAATCCCACAATAATGCAATATATGTAGACAATTTTGACTATGTAATGGAATTCTGCAAGTGGCTTTTGAAGAAGTGGGATTTGTAAATGGCGTTGTGTGTCCGGACAACGTTAACATTTAAGCTCATTGGTTGCATAAACACGCAGAGTAAAGGTGAACATTACCTAATTCTCCAGACTGCTACATCTATTCTAGCTCTTCACGCCACGCGCAAGGACAGACTACCTCCTCCTACCCGCATGTTTGTCCATGGGTTTAGAGTTGCGTCAGCTTCTACGACTGTTTATACCTGCGTGCAAATGTGCACAAAGCAGGCAGATAAGTGAAATGAAATTTAGCAGGTAATAGCGACAGCCAATGTTATTAAAATGGAATGGTGTTCTGATAAAACTCAATTTGTCTGGCTGTAGCAGTGCATACCAGTGTTAACTGTCCTTAAAAACATGGCCTGTGACACCAGTCATCTCACGGTGAACAGAAATCTAAAATTATAAACATGAAACCATGGTAAGCTAGCAAAAATAATAAAAAAGGTTGGGGGAAGAGGAGGATGAGGAGAGGAAGAAGACATTCATGATAACTTGGATCAAGATGCAAGTATTACACTGTACAAGTTGGCACTCTCAAGAGCAACAAAACTGATATTGCAGCTTCAAGGACTTTTCAGATAATTACGTGCAATTCTGCTCTATTGTGGAAAATGTCCATTTTGATATGTCATTTATTCAGGTACGTCAGTTCATACACACTTGCTTCCCAACTAATACCCGGTGACACCTCTTGTCCCATCCATGCGCGCTACATGCCCCGCCCATCTCATTCTTCTCTACTCAATCACCCTGACAATATTGGGGGAGGAGTACAAATTTTTAAGCTCATCATTAATTACTTTTCTCCATGCCCCATCATCTTCTCTCCTAGGCCCAAATATCCTCCTCAACACCTGCAATCTGTGTTCCTCCCTCTGAGTATGATAAGAACATTGTTATTTCAATCCAGTAGGAATCATCTAGCTGAGGCAAAAATAAGTTTTAATTTGGTTCATGGGATTGCATAAATCTTACACAGGACACATGGTCTCGTCTTACTTGACCATCAACGCTCATCACACTCACTGGCAATATATGATGAGACCATAATCATTTGAGGTACCAGTAGTGCGCATCTTTTAACTGGTATGTTCTGAACAATGAGAACAGATAACAAATTATTTTGCAAGAACAAATCCTCAACTATAAGAAGGAACTTGTTCTTTTTCGACATGTTGCGTATGTTGCTGCTGCAGTAATTGAATAGGTCATAACATGTCTGAAAGTGATTACGGTACACCTACCTTTGCAATACACCTTTTCACCATCCTGTGTCCCGCCTATTCCACCGCCCAGTCCCTTCACATGGCTTGTTCCAAAGAAGTGACTCTCTGCAAAGAGAACAAAAACCTCAAACTACAAATCATCAAAGAAAAACAAAACTTTCTTTGGGTTCGAAAATCCGGAGCTAGCCATCTCCCAGCCTCCCGCATTACCTGATTATGGCAACATCACAACTGGCTGACTGCACTTGCACTCATACCTTCTAGAAATGTCTGTCAGCTCTGCAATGGTGCCAGACACTGTACAGCCACCCAAATCCCTCTCAAAACATGTAGTGGGGGTCCGATCTCTATATAAATATGAACTCCTGTAACAAGTAGTGTGTTGAAGTGTTGAAATGACAAGTGACCCAGCATAAAGTGTGAATGAAGTCAGTGGAGAAGTACAGCTACGAATGGTGTATTACAACACAGGGAAGACCCCACTGCATAGTGCCAAATAAATTCACTCTGTGTTAAGAACCCGCTGATTACATCACAATACGAACAACAAAAGAATGAAGAGTAGCTTCACTGTTTGTCCAGTGAAAACCATCTTGGATTGTAAATTAATAATTCCTTGAGAAGCGTGACAAAATTATGCATTGGTCAGACTACGTTTCCTTTTGATTCTTTCAAATATCTCGCCCATGATTTGGCAGTGCAATGATGAAGCATCAGTTCAAATATCTGACACACAAGATTTTCAATTAATCAATTGAATTTTAAACAGGCTTCTTTAAGGTTATGAAGTGATAACTATTTTTGTTTTTGTATTTTGTCTACACCAACATTCACAGACAGAATGTCAATTACTGTGTATTTACTGATCTATGTAATACGCATAATGGCTGAAAAGTTCTGATCCATTTTTAGGAAGCTGTGGAGGCAACTAAGTGACACTTGCTACGATGACAGATGTTATGTAAGAAGCAGTGAGAGGTTGGCCAGACTGTTCCTGGCAACACTGCTTCTCATCTGGCAGCACTGTTGCTGATATCTGTTTAAGGCATTCAGGGCCACAACCTACCAGTTTCATTTCGTAAGATTTGAAGTTTTCACATCAGTGAGTATGAAGATTTCTGTCTTCTGGGTTGTTGCGCTGTGTAGTCTGGTCGATGTTAACCATCGTTTCAGAGGTCATACTGCCTCCATCATCAGGGCGATGAGCATGAAGATTTCAGTCTTCTGGGTTGTTGCGCTGTGTAGTCTGGTCGATGTTAACCAACGTTTCTGAG